CATTACATAATTGCAATTCATGTTTGCCTTTGTATTATCTATGATCTTTCCCTAACCTTAACAATGCATCAACCAATGTCTTGAGAGGGTACTCTTGCAGCAGAGGGGCAACTTACTTGTAATTGTAAATAGTAAAGACTAAAGAAAATGGTTAACAACGTCTTCTGACACAATAATACAGAATGTATTTTCAAATATTATGTTCCACATTACGTGAAATGCCTGCATGAATTAGCTTTTGTCTTCCTCATTAAGTCCACTATATGCATGCATCATTTCCTCTGAATCCCTTGAGCGTGGGTACAGAAGTTGAATTTGTGAACAATGAAAGCTACATGTAGGCAACTACATAACACAAATACACTGAATGGTATTACTGGAAAAAATGCTGACATAAATAGTTGTACTTTAAGTAAGGGATTTGATATAATGACAATAATACCTTGAGGTTATATATAAATATATATATATATATATATATATATGAACTAACATCCAATAGCTGAACTTTTTAACAAGAGGAAATTAACCAGATCCAAGCAGCTCTCACTCACCAAACCATGCTTTTGTTTGGTTTAAATTTAAATTTTTTTTCTCCATAGACAAAAAACACTTCTCTATTACTTAGCAGAAATACAGGGGATGATTATACAAAGGGTAGTTAGTGGCTGTTGTATATAGGCTGTATAGTGTTGTTGTGTGATACAGTAATGCTGAATTTGGTACAACTGAAAGAACAAAACACATGTGTCCTGTGAGGCTCTGGAGGCCAGAGGCTATGGGACAATTTAAGACTGCCACAAGCGAAATACATGGAATGGCAATTGCCACAGCCAGAATGGAGCCCCGCGGTGTAGAGATGCACACACACAAAATCACAAATGAAACGCTGAATGTAAATGGTCTGACGAGAGTCATAAATCTCTCTGTGGCCGCTGGGCAGCTGGGGTCGGGCAGCCAGCAGTCCTGTCAAAATGGTGCAGCTGTGTGAACAGAGATAGCCAATGTGGTGTAGGACACACCGAGGCAGGCCTGCAGGCTGAAAACTGGAATTGGCCTCTGAAATGCTCTGTTACTTTTTCGAAATGAAAGGTGCTGAGCAGGTTTGTTCCAAACACTATATATCAATTTTGGGGGGAAAGTCATTACCATAACTCCCAAATAGCTGCAATCCACTTTTGTAGAATTGTCATAGTTTCATCCACAAAAGACATTTAACATCTTTAAAATGAAAAATCACCCCAAAGGCCTGGTCACGTCTGAATGTGGCATAGAAAAAGAATCAATCGAATGTGCGCAATGTTTGGTTTTAGAGGCTTGGTGACATAGTGACTATACCGGAAAGGCTAGCTGGTGAACTTGTGTAGATGGCAATCTAGTCACTAACACACTAGCCATCTAGGACCGAGCTAGTGGGAGTCATGCATGCTGTTTACTGTGCGCTGGGGTTTTGCCATCAGAATTGTACGTTATTTCAGTCAAAAGTTTTGTTGAAATGGGAAAACACTTTCTGAGTTGCTTACTGTTAGTTAGCAATCTTGTTAGCTCAGTCGCTAATGGGACAATAAGTTCACACAGTTCATTCAAAAAAGGTTTTTGCACCATCAACTCATTGTCTCATAACCAATTCTCTTCTATGAAACTGTTTAAACTTTAACAGAGGAGGAGGTGAAAAATGGGATGGTGCAACAGCTAATAAGCTAAGATCGTATCCTCCATTTTTGAGACTCTGGATCTCTATCCCTTTAAAGATCAACACTTTCAAGATGGCTTGCTACTTGCCATTGGCACAAATTAGTGGGTCAAAGTTCATCAAAGTTAAACCCAATGAGAGACATTTGCACTGATTTACTTTGCCCACACAAGAGAATTGACTAAGCATGTCGATTCCATTTGAATGAATTGATTTTGGCATAAAATTTTGCTATTTTGAATGCTGGTTTGTATGATCAGGCTTCAAGACTTAGATTTAACTTATGCAGTTTAAATGCTGCTCTAAAAATTTGGGTCAGTACAGTTCAAACACAGGCAACTGCCTCCCTAAGGTGGACGTCAAAGCAGAGAGCAGAGAAATAAATGCAAACTGAAAAGACAGGTTAAACTGTTTTTCTCATTGCTCTAACAAGAAATCACATTGGTCAGGACTCAATGACCAACACATAAGGGAGTGGGTTACAGTTACAGTTCGGCCAAAGCCTCCAGTGCAGTGCCATTGTGCACCTGTTTTAGCCCTGCTTTATAGTACAGTATCAGCATCCTTTGGTTTTCCACTGGTCTAATGAGCAGGTGGTTTCCAATTGTGTAGAACCGTTGGAAGTACCACAGAACAAAAACACTTTTAGAATCTGTAGTGTTGTGTGTGTGCCAAAGTAAAATGAGAAAGGGGAGAAACAGATTGCTGAGAGCGAGAAAGACAGAGGGGGAGAGAGACTAATGAAGGTTATAGAGAAGGAGAAAGTAGGGAAAAGGAAGGAAAAGAAATGAGTCTGGGATGATAAAAGAGAAAAAGAGACAGAGGGATTGTCTAGGAGTCTCTCTGGATTTGCAGAATCCCCTTAGCCTCGAGTTTCGGGACAAAGTCACACTGACACACTTACTGCATGGTGAGCTCTCCTTCTTTCCGTCTTTCTCTCTTTCTCTCTCTTTCTCGCTTTCTTTCATACTGGTAATGAGAACTGTAGGTGTTCGCTGACTGCCACATACACACCACAGAGCGTTTAACAGTAAAGCAGGTGTGCTCGCTGACACACATATGCACACGGTATTCTTGGACGTCTGCCACAGTGCCAGGACACCTAGAGTGCGATGCGGAAATAGGAGGAAACCCTAAGGGTCATTTTTATATTAGTTCCAGCCAATCTCCTTGTAAACACCATGCTTTATAATACAATCATACATCTGCTGTTATGTTATGCCAAATGGAAATTGCCTGTGCTATAGCTGTTATAAAGCTTTAGATGCCAAATGTGAATTTTGGGAAACATGCTTTTGCGAGAGTTATATGAGAAGATTAGATACTGCAGTTATGTCTGTGCAGCAACCAGTTACCATATATGTTGGTATAGAGGATTGGAAACACAAGGGAAAGCTAAACTTTGCTTTTTGTACAGCTTCAATAAAACAAGATAGTGAGCTTTAGAGGTGCTGATAGGTGGATTTTGTTACCCTTGAACAAAGCCAGGCTAGCCTTTTCCCCTTTTCCAGTCTTTGTGCTAAGCTAACCAGCCACTGGCTCCAGCTACATTTTTACTGTACAGACATGAGAGTGGTATCAGTCTTCTGATCTAACTTTAAAAAAACAATATGTCAAAGCTATTCCTTTCTATATGTGTTTAAATAACTAGATAATGGCAAATTGCTCAGGTTAACATGCTATACTTATTGCTTTGTTCCGGGCAGTTTATTCAGTTCAGCTCAACAATACAAAAGGAGCCGTGACCTTCTAGGGTTTCTTTTCATTGACATGGCTAATTTTCTTTCACTCCACCCAGGCAGACAACACAGACATCCACCGTCTCATTAAAGCATGGGCACATTTAGTCAGCGAGCGTAATGAGCTTGAGACTGCAGCAGTGTGAATAACGTTCATGAAAGCAGCGGTGAATGCTTGTGTAGGGATAATGTCTTACATTTTACAGAGCCCATGACCAGAAAACAGGCTGTCATTGTCATCATCAACAACAAAAAACTGACAAAAGCCTTACTGTCATCATTATTGCACACAGTAAAAGTTTATTTCTCACCACGGCTATAAATGCACACACTTTGGATGGTAGTATACGATAACAGTATACAAAACTAACAAAGTATTCAACAGACCTGCTCAGTCTCATTATGCTGTATCCAGTTTCCCCGCTGTCTGTAACTGTGTAAGATACTAAATGATGAATGAATCCTTGCTGCTGCTGGCTTCGTATTCGCCTGTGCTCTACTCAACAACAGAGAAAACCCAGAGCACGTGTTTCCCCACAATCAGCTCCACGCATATAACCATATCGCTGTTGTAAAAACCCTGTACCTGCTACACTTCACATTCATCTTCCTCTGCTCTGACTCAGTTTAACAGATGAAACCTTTTAGAATACCAACGACAGTTTTTAAAAAGCAATCATTTTTCTCCTATTTCTAAAGGAATGGCATCTTTGAGGTATGTGTTTTCTCAGCACATTCGCACTTCCTATCTAATCAACACATTCCAGCCAAGCCCTGTACAAGATGACAAGTTACACATTCACAGTGTTTTACTGCTCATAATGACAATATGATCGTTTGTGGGGGTAATAACGACGAGTGTATGGCTTCTGTCTCTCAAAAATGCATCTAAAATAAATCAAGTATTTCTTATATTGCAGAAAATGTATGAATAAAAGGGCTTAAGGTCGATGAAACTGTTCAAGTCATAATGTCGCCGAAGCTGAATCGTATTTTTACATGACAGAAGCAATGTGAAAACCGTCATTTCAGGTCAGAGGATGAAAAAACAAAAAGTCCAGTTCTGACAAACAACAGAGAAGAAAACAGCAGAAGAGATTTGCTGGTTGTTCTTTGAACTGTAGCGCTTCTAGACAGTCGCAGGCAGAGGAGATGTGATGAATTCCCCTGGAGCCAGCGCGGGAAAAAGAGCTGAACTTGTTCTCACATCTCCTACTGCTGAGGAGAAATAACTAGCTCCTCTCACTTTGATGGAGAAAGGAATGAACACACACTCACACACATACATTCACACACGCACACACACTGGAAATCTGCCTTGCTGCTTGGAAGTCACTCATTTTTGTACGTTTCTCTCATGTCCCTTTCCCATTTTTCTACTGTTTCCACATTCAACCTCTCTTTCACAAAATGACTCTGACTTTGCTCAGTTCCTCCTTGTTATTCTGTCTCACTGTCACCTTTCTTGCTCTTTAATTCTTTTCATCACTGCCTCTGCTGTCATTAACTTTATCACGCTGATCATTCCCATCATCAAACCTCCTCCCTCTCCTCCAAGTCTCACTTACCTGTGCAATCTCATACAGCAGTTTGTAGTGTTCCTCCCGTTTCTGCAAGGTGCACAAATTGCAGCCCATTCTAGTTGTCAGGGAAACAGTGCTGAGTGCCCGCTGGAGTGTGTGTGCTGTCTGCGGTGTGTGTGAGCTCCCCCTGGGGCGAAACACACTCGGGCTCCTCTTCCTTGGCTCCCCCAGACCTCTTTCTCATCCGTGTATCCTCAGAGATCCCTTCTAGTTGCTCCGAGCGCAGAAAACACACACACACACCACACGCACACACACCCACGTGTATCAACTCACTGCTATAGTAGAGGCTGTGGATGTAGTTCCTTCAGTGTGTGTGTTTGTGTGGAGTGTATCAGTGATAAGATGAGTAAAAGCACCTTGCTTCTCTTTCCCTCTTGCCTGTCACTCCTTTCCCTGATTCTCACTTGCATGCCTACATACACTCACTCCTCTCTCCACCACCTCCTCTTCTCAGTGTGAGCACACACTCGTACGCACACACACTTTTGGCTCATGGAGACACACCTCCTCCTGTGGCAGGCTGCCTACACATGCCTGCTCCTACTCCGGCTCATGAATACACAGCGTTCCTATTGGCTGTTTAAGGAAAGGGGCTGGAAGTGGAGGGAGGAGACTGGTGTTATCTAGTGGCAGATTCAGTATCTGAACATCAGTGTTGTTATTTGCAGGCGAGGTGAAGAACATGCTGCATGTGTGTTTGTGCTAGTGGCTGCATCTGTATTTGTATGCTCAAGAGTGCATCTGTTTGGTATCTGTGTGTTTACATTCCACCAACATGCAAAATCCCACCTCCCTTACATTTCAGTGCAAAAAAAAATTCAATACAGCAAACTCCAAAGAGGAGTTAAAATGCCATCCCTACAGTTAATCAAGTTACTGAGAGGGCTGTTTGTCTGTGCACACCTTCAACAACTGGATTTGGCATAGAAATCAATCTCATTTGGATTCAATCAGATAGCCTTTTGCACTCAGTACAATGGTTGGATGAGTGGTGTTTAGTCGCTGCCATAGATTTACAGTCAGAGCGCGATAGTCACCAAACAGATGCTCGCTCTCTCACTCTCTGCCGGCAGTTAGACAAGGGCACCGGACCGGGCTGACACACACAGGAAGAAACACAGACTAGTATTGATTGGCTTCAAATTAGCTTCCAGCCCAACTGGCCTCTCTCTAGGAGGGTGAGAGGACAGAGGGGGAGTGAAAGAAAGAGAAGGTGATGGAAAGAAGATGGAATAGATGCAGCAAAGATAAACGGAAAGAGCAGTGATGGTATTACAAACCTGTCATAGTAGATTGTAGTAGTATGCTAATTTGCTGAAACGCAGTACTGCCCAGATTCCAATTTAATGAGGAAAAGTTGTAAATGAAAATTTTTATGGTTATTCACTAACAGCACTTGGATTGGGAAAGAATCTGGTCTTGGTTTAATAGTAAAAAAGTAAACTGTGACTTGAAAAATCGGACTCTTTAAAGTCCAACTGAAATTTTTACTTTCCACACATTTTATGTAGCCTAAGGTAAATTTAAATTATGCATAACTGTGTGTAAGGTTCCATATTTCAAAAGAAGATAATACAATATTTGGAATGTGGAAACATTGTCAAAGCTTCACAGGTGTTTCCTGTGGCAGTATTTGGTTGAAAACAGCGGTGATATTGTTGCACAGTATTCATAAAATAAGCACTATATGGGCTCGCTGTAAATAAGTACCATTAGTGAAAGTGGAAGCTAGCAAGCTAGGCTAACGACTAGCTTTCACTCTGACCTAGCTTGACAACATTAGCACTAATTCCCACTAGACATTTCTGTTGGTTCAAGTTGTTTGCAATACATGCTAAGTCAAGTACACAAGTCTAAACTACACACCAGATATGCTGGTTTCTTAGGAAAAAAATATTGGAACAGGAAAGTGAAGCGAGGGGCCCGTAATCTGCAGCTTACTGCTATGCTAAACTAAATCCTACACACTGGTCCTTTAACCGAAATTTTAACCCTAATCAGAGTGCTTTGTAGCTTAAACCTAACCACAAAGGACGTGAACCCTGGTCATCAGTCTCAGTCCTGTAGCCTACTTTGTACGCCTGCCCTCCAACTAACCACCTCCATCCAATAATTAGTACACATTTCTAGGAGACAGAGTTGAATGTTAATACACTTATACAGCATAAATTAACATAGTAGCCCTTGCTGTGTTGCCCAAGGACATACATATATCGTTTTTGTGTTCTGTCTCCAGTCAAATAGAAAAGAACGTATCAAATTGAAACTGCCGTTACAGAACAACACATTGTTTTGTCCTGAGGGAAGTTCAGTCTACATTTTGCAAGGACAGCCTTCAGCATCATATTGGGAAGAATTAAACTCACTTAATGTCTTGTAGTGCACGTTTTATAAACTTAAACGTCAGTGTTGTGTAGTATGAGTTTGGGTCATTCTTTTCTTTACAAGAGGTCAGTACAGTTTATAATGTAGCATAATTGATTTTACAGTGAAATGAAAAGATTGCATTGAAAGTATAAAATCTGTTATTGCAAACTGTAAACTTCCAGCCAAGAGGCTTCAGGATACACTCCGTCTGCATGACGAATAGCCGTCACTGCTAAGACTATGAGCGAGAGCACAGATGTGTCATCCTTCTTATCACCAGTCATGCAGGTACAAGGACCATAGTGGTTCAGTCAAGGGCAGCAGAGCAGATCCAGATACAGCCCCCCAGATAACACTTAACCCTTTCTCTCCATCCACTCTTGTCCCCTTCTGATTAGGTCACCGCTTTCTCCGCTGACCTCTGAAGGTGACTTCTCAGGGGTGACATCACCACCTAACGCACTTTAGGGTTCTTCTGTTTCTTTTATTTTCTTTTGTTCTTTTTTATATTCTCTTCTATCAGCCTCTCCCACTCTATTCCAGTGCTGATCTTTGCAGTCTGAGTATGGGATTAGCAATACTACCAGACTCTGGTTAAACTGCCACTGTGATCATCCATAAGCTCAGATTTGCTGACGGACACACATACAGAGAGCTAAACGTGTGTCCAGGACACACAAACACACACAGTCCCATATAGACAATGAAAACGAGACATTTTCCATCTTATTCCTGCACATTTTATTGAAAGGACAGTGAATCTGAGATGCATGACGTTTCTCCTGAAGGTGACATCATCATTGTGGTCATTTATGGCCTATCACCATCCTTTTTATTGTTCATATCACCCACTTTCCATCATCTCTACAATTTCTCTCCTCCATTTCATCATCTTCTTCTATTGCCCTTTGTGTACATGAGACACTGGCCAGATGTCTGGCTCATGTTCTCATATAAAATTGAAGAGGAGACTCGTATAACTTTAAGAGATGTGGGATTTTAACCATACAGATCAGAAATCATATGCAGAATATTGCACAAACAAAATGCCTGCTTCACCGTCTTTGATGTCTGACAACTGGACTGGCAATACAGCAGCAGAGTGGTGTCATGCCTGTAAAGTTGCATGTTCAAAAAATCCTTAGACAAGTAGTTAACTTTAGTGCGAGGAGGGCTGAGGTGGGTTCAAACAGCTATACTGGTCATTTCATATTTTATGGTAAAGTCCGTCAGTGTGATCAGCCAGTCAGTCAAAGGTTAACCAAAAATAGCTTGCTGCAGGGGGAAAGTGTTGCACTTCAAAGGCAGCCTGAAACGCCACATTAGCATAATGTCCTATATGGCTGTGATTGAAAGAAAATTGGCCTCTTCGCACGATCCTCTCTGAAAATAGAAACTTGTTAGGTAAGCTCTGAACCATTTCAGCATTGACTTTACAGTAAATCAGAGTATAAACTTTTGAAAAGAAAATTCTCAGAGTTGTAGGTATGGCAGGTAATTACAGCTGCGTGAATCCCACACCAAGATGTTCAAAGGCCACAGTATCCTTGACGACAGACGGAGCAGTGCATCATGGGTAGAGAGCTGATCTAATCAGGAACGATGATCACGCATTCGGTCCGTGCTCAAAGGCCTGCCCTCTGCAGAATACCAACAAACTGCTATTCAATAAGTTACCAGTGCAAACTTTTCTCTCTCTCTCTCTCTCTCTTACAAAGTTGCCTTGAAGCACATCAGCATAGACACATCCCGGACACAACGGAGAGGCGCATCTTTAACGTTAAAACACCTCCAGGACTCATCTTAAGATCTTGGTTTTATGATGATCTGAGAGTGTCCTTCATGCAATGTCATTTATGCCTCTTAAGGAGGACAGATATTCAAAACAGCACCAGATTCTCTTTCAAAGAAATCGGAGACGGAGCTGTGAGGCTTGCAGCACATTTGTTTTGACGAAAGTAGGAAAACGTGCTAATCAGTTCCGATGTCAGTCTTAAATTAGCAGCTTAGCCCTTTGTCAAAATCAATCAATTCTCAACCACCTGTGGCTATAAAAGTTTCCTTTTTAAAGTGACTTTTAGACGTCACGCCATGTGTGGAAAGATCAATACAAAACAGCAGCATTTCTGGTAGTGTCTGGCCGTCTCAAAGCCAATGGCGTGAGAAGAGCCTGAGGGCGACCCACACACAGCTCTCAATAGCCATAACCCATACATTATTTAACACTCTGAACCATTCATCTAGGTAAAAACACGATTAGAGTGCTACTTACAGCACGGAGCTAAAGGCCGAGGGGAAATGATGGTACGTGATGGTAATTGAAAAGCGGCGTCCTTTTCTGTTTTTTGTTCTGGTAATTACATTGTAACTATTCATTATTGTCTAATTACTTTGCAGGAGGCCAGATCCAATCCTCATAATGACTATCTCTCCTCCCCTCATTGTCTCCTGATCCTGATTGTTGAAGCAAAATGACTGACTCTGTAAAAAAAAAAAGAGCCAGAGTGACTCCAGTCATTTAATTATCAAATTATGAGCAGAGTTATAAGAGACACAAAAGGCGGTCAGCACACAAAAGTAAGGAAAAGACAAAACAACTAAATTGGGATTCATTTAACGAAACACAGAGGGACCTTTTGTTCATAATTTGCAGACTGCCAGTTGGGCAAAAATCATTCATTAGAGAGTTGTTGTAGAAACAGTGTGTTTTTAGTGTCCAATCTTAGTTATGTCCCCTTTGAGCAGCCAGGCAAAGCCAGGCATGCACACAAATTCACACATATACACAAACAGACAAAATGTGTGATAATGAAACGATTCAGAGCTTGGCGTCAAACGAAGGAGGCAGCCATTAAAACAAGTCAAATCACTGTTGAAACAGTCGCTAACACTTTCTTTTTCATCGCTCCATTGAACAAGGCTATTTAGAAAAACAAATGGCAATTTTTTTCTGAACCATTGTGACCAGACACCCGGAGGCTGTGTCACCCCCTCCGCGCTTGCTATTCAGTATATACAGCAACTTAACCACCACAGTGCAGCATGACCGGAGGGGAATATGAGACCCTGACAGCCTCTTTACTCAATAAGCGAGCAGC